TGTTTACCAATGGAGAAATGGAGCTACAACATCTCAATATACAAGCCTGCCCACCAGCCCAGCCCAACCAAACCAATATCCCCCCCTCCTCTGCAAATCTCTTTTCGGCTACAGAGCAGCTGAGCCAGAAATCAATCAGTTCAGCCCTCCTACACAGCTGACCTTCTGGGAATGGAGAGGTCTGGAGCTGCTTTCAAACTGGCAAAAAATCCTCACGTGGAAGTGCTCTGGGTGGATGGGGGGAACTTGCATATCTGAAACTTCCCCAAGCTCATCCAAGGCCAAAAAGAAACAATTCAATCCATGAATTGAAATGAAAGCATGAGATTAGTCAGGGAAAAAGAGCATTTGTGTTCTCAACATACATTAAGGCTCTCAAAGGATGGAAAGGATGGGATGATAATAGAATGTAGTGAAAAAGAGGATGCTGTCACTAGCCCTTAACACAACCACGTATGTACCTGACTTTTAATAAGCACGTGGAGGGGCGTGCTGGGGAATGGAATGCAGAATTGATTCAGTCACTGGCTAACAAAAACTCAGATGAAAAAGAGAGCAAGGGGGAGTTTACAGTTCCTCTAGAAACTGCCTGGGCCTTCATTTGGGATTTTCTTGGCAGTCATGATGCATGACTTGTGGACCAGATTAAGCCTCCAAAGCAACTTTTATCAGCTTCTGCAATCCTACCAAACATGATATTTTTTCAAAGTGTGTCCAATGTTTTACTCAAAAAGAAAAAAAAATCAAATTGTAAGAAATAAGAGTCCACACTATAATATTACATACAGTAATGCCTTTATAGATACTTTATATAATGTCAGAACATACATGCACAGTAACTATTGCAACTGCTCTTGCTCTAGTTGGCTTTATGATGTTCTTTTGCTCTAGAGCCTGATCACCAATGAAGATTTCATTTGTGCAGCAAAGTTCAGTCTGAGTGCTCAGACCACTGTCCTCAGAATAGCACTGCAAGAATAGAGCCTTGCCTTTAGACTCTATTCCATGCTATACCTGTGAAACTAGCCTGAGAACAGGGATGGCCCCTCATTTTCCCCCAGTTTAAGCTCAAGGAAAGGATTGATTAACTTGTTGCTTTCACGCTGCATTTACAAACTACTAAGCGTGCCACAAAAGTGTAACACCCCCAACACAGAAGGTTGGAGCAGGGGAAAGAGTGCAGGGAGAATGTAGCTTTGCCACACATGTGAGGTCTTTGGAACTGGAGGAAAAGACGAGGACTCATTCCTGCAGTTACGCTGTACCTCCAAGCATCTTCAAAACACAGAGCAAGGGGTCACTGTGGTTAACAACCCCACTCCATGCCATCCCTGTTTTGTTGCATCCCCAAGGTGCTCCAG